CTTGCTTAATAAGCTTATTGACTATTCACTGACACACCCTGAGGGTGGAGATAGCCTCCCATAGGATGCATGACCGGGAGGGATTAACATGACAAGGAGGAACATGGGATGGGTGGTTCAGGAAGAGTGTAATCCAAATGAGCTGGTCCAATCCCAACACGAATGGAAGGAGTATGGATTTTACCAGCCATTTAAAAGTTGACTCTACTTCTGTGCCAGTGTGCATGTGCCACTAGGTGGCGGTATGCCTGCTTCTCATGAGAAGTGTATGTAGGCTTTCCTTCACACACTCCTGTAGTAGATTTTTGTTTCAGATTTTTCTGACATCTTTCGTTACTGTTTTGCTTGCTGATATCATCTCCCATTGGTTCAGTTATCATCTCTGTGCAGATGATTCCCAGATTTGTATGTATCCAGCCATAGCCTGGCTCCTGACTGATGGCTAACTCTGACTTATTGCCTTTTGGATATCTCGTAGATATCTCTAACTCAACCAGCACAAAATAGAACCCATTGTCTTTTCCCCTAACCTTCCCTTCATCCCATCATTCCCTCTATCACCCAGGCCCAGAACTTGTTTCATCCCTGACTTTTCACAAGCATTTACCCCACATGTCCAAGTTTTGCAGTTTCTGTTGTAGAGTCTTGTAATTTCTGCCTTCACACTGTTTATTGTACAGATTCCCATACTGTGGTATGGTACCTTGTTACCTTATACCTAGACTATACTGCAGTATCTTTCTGTTTGGTCTTTCTCCATCAGGTCTGTGTCCACTCCATTCTACCTTCCACTCACCTGACAAAATAATTTTCCTAAATCAATGACCTAATCATGTCAAGGTTTCCCCCAGCCCTCCAACTCAATAAACTGCATTGTTTCCTTATTATGTCAAAGATCAAATATAAAATGCTCCACTGTTCTTATACCTAAAATGCGTTCCCTCTTCGCTTCTGCCCACTGAATTTCCTTCTTTCAACACTCAGCTGCAGTCCTGCTTTCTGCAGGTTGCCTTTTCTGGTCCCCCTCTTCCCCTTTCCTACCCCTTGTCTTTGAGATTATCTGCCATTTACACAATATATATCTTATATTTGCATAGTTATTTGCATATTAACTCCCCTATTTCATGTCAGTTCTTTGAGGGTAAGGACTGTATTTGACCATTTCTTAGTATCTCCAGTGATTAGCATAGTACTTGGATATAATAAGTACTTAATTAATTCTTTTTGACTAAGGAGTTGGCTGGGAGAAGTTCTTGCTATATAAGTCTCTTGACACACCTATATTCCTTTATTACTACTTCTGATCTTATGGAAAAGAAATATTTATATTTTGTCTAGAAAGCTTCCTTTTCATACAGTAAGCATTTTTATTGCATGTTATATGTTAGGCTCTAAGCTAGGTGCTAGAGATACAAAGATAGAACTGAAAGCATCCCTGTCTTTAAGAAGCTTATATTTTATTGACCATAGAAAACTTGTACCCAAATAAGCAAATCCAAAACATATACAAAATGTAAAGCAATTTTTTTGGGGGGAGGGGAGCATAGATTTCTTCTCCTCTCAAAATGGATTTTTTTCTTGGAGGGGGTACTTAAGATGAGCATTGAAGGGTGCTAGGGATTGTAAGAAGGAGAACTAAGGAGAGAGTGCATGTCAGGAATTGGAATTGATTGACCAAAGGCACAGAGACTGGGGAGGAAATGACATTTTGAAAGGGATCTAGTTAGTCTATTTGACTGGAAGGCATACTGTGGGAATTGGGGAATAATGTATTAAAAAGCTGCAAAGTTAGGCTACAGGTATATTGTGAAGGGCTTTAACTAGAAGCAGCAGAGTTCTGATTTGATCCTAGAGACAAGAGGGAGCCATCTACTACGGGAGTTCCTTTAGCAGTAGATCACGTGGTCGGATCTGTGGTCTACGTCCTAGATCATAGACCTAGACTCTAGGACCATCATTTCAGGGACAGTGTGGAAGATGGATTAGAGTGGAGGCAACCTGGAGGTAGGGAGACCAACTGGTCTTCAAATTTGAAGGCTATTCTCATAGTTGTGTAAGAGGTGAAAAGAACCTAAACTAGGGTTGTGGTTGAGTGGTGAGAAGGGGGCAGAACCAAGAGATAATATGGATTTGATGTCTCTAATACTTATCAGCTGATCACACATGAGGGATGAGGGAGAGTGAGGAGTGGAAAAAATTAAGCTGATTGGAAATATGATGGTGTTCTTAATAGAACTAGACTATTTAGAAAGAGGTGAGGCCTTGGGGGAAAAACCTGAGTTCCAGTTTTCAGCATGTTGCTTTTAAGATGCTTACAGGACATACAAATGACGTCCAATAGACAGCTGATGTTCTGGGATTTAAGCTCTGGAGAAAGACTAGGCCTGGACATGTAGATGTGAGAGGTGCATAAAGGTAATTGTTGAGCCCATGACATCATTGAAAGAATATGTAGAGAAGGACGAGGGCCCAGTACTGAGGCCTGAGGAAAGAGTTAAGGAAGATCCAGCAACTGGGATTAAAGTGGTCAAAATGGTAGGGCAAAAACAGGAGATAATTTTATAATACCACAATGAGGAAAGCATATCCAGGTGGAGGCCATAATGAACAGCGTCAAATGTAGGGTTAAGATGAATGAGAACTGAGAAGAGTCTACTGACAATTAAAAAGTCATTAGATCAGAAGCAACTTGAGTTGAGGAGTGAATTATAGGTATGAACAAGGCATGTCTAGAAGCTATCAATAGTCTAAGGCTTTAATTATTGAATTACCTTTACATTTACCAGTTTATACTTAGAACTGATGAGAAGAAAAATCTCCTATTTGGAATGATTTCCTTTTTTTATTTAAAGGTAATAGCAGCTTCCATAGCCCCTCTTATTGAATATAAATATTATTACTGCACCTATAAAAGGGAAGAGTGTCTTGGAGAATTGTCAGTTAACTGTGATGGCAGAAGGGGTGAGGTATTATAAGAGAATGAAGTTCAAATAGCCATTTCTTGAAGAAAAAAGATTGAAAAGAGATCACTTTACTTTGTTTAACTGTCATCCTACAAAAGATTTAGATTGAAGGAGTTAACTGTTGTCCATGAAGAGTCTCTGAGAGAAAATAGAAGAATATGTGAGAGGAGGTAGAGAGTGAGAGAAGCAAAAAGCTTAGGGAAAAGAGGTTTCTCTAGTTTATGAATTGGGATGAAGACACAGAGCTAATTGGTTAATTGAATGATAGAGATTGTACATTTCTATTACTTTGAGGAAATATCAGAACAAACTTTTTGATTTCCTTAGAACCTGCCTAGAGGATTACGAAGGAAATGAACCAGTAGTAGTTAGAAAAACATAAGGGCTGCTGTGATTGTCATCTAGTACAACATCGTCTACCTCCCCACTGTGTCTAGGATACATGTGAAATCTTGTTCCCCCAAAGTCCTACACATTAGGGGATGGTTTTTGGAATTTTTTTGCATGTGCTTTTTCTTTTTTCCTCTTGATATTTTCCTTCATTATCAACCTATTATAATTCACAGAATAATAGGTAATGACATTGATTTGCCTGTTTTATTTGCTGCATATTAATTACATAGAATTATGGCTTCATTGTACCATTTTAGTATTATTTATTATTTTACTAAATGTGACTTTTATGTAATAATTACTTGAAAAAATGGAGGCTGATATATTCAATAAATATTATGAAGTTATGAGTATTGAAACATACCATGGCCTCATAATATTAGGAATACATAGATCTTCATTGTAAAAATTAGATAATTATAAAATCTTTCAAAAGAGCTGAACAAGAGTTGGAAAAACATAAAAGTGATATTTAATAGGTTAAGACCAGGAGAAAGTGATCAATCAATATTTTGTTAGTTATGAAACCCAACTGATTCACTCAGTTGTGATGGTAGAGGATGTTACTTGGAAAATGATCTTTAAATCACCCTCTGAGGAGTAAGGGTTAATTAAAAATTTTGAAAATGTCTTTTGAAGAGGTATGTCACTTAGAAAAATTGGGAGGTATGACGAAGTAAAAAAGTAATGCCGCACAATGGTCATGTCAGGTACAAATTTTTTTATGCAAAAAAAAATATATAGAGGCCCAGGTTAGGATTTTTTCCCCTATACTCTTAGGAAAGAATCAGTGGAAGTTTGGATAGTGTTGTACCAAAATAATAAAAGGCTGGCAAGTATCTCAGCTAGGCAAAATGTGGAATTTAGTGGAAAGGAGCCATTTTCACATTTATGAGATCTCTGCGGGTCTTGGTCTCTGCCCTAAGTACTTGTGTGGGGGAAGAACTGGCCCTACGGCAATGATAGACTCTTTTCCTCAGGCATGGTAGAGTGCCACACAGACCCCTTCTTTTCCTTCCCCTCTTCCATACACATCTTTCCCCCCTTCTTTTCCTCCATTGTCAAGCAGCGTTCTTTTGTGGTGCCAGGTGTGCTGAATAGGCCAGTTTGTGATGCTTTAGTGGCCTCAGCAAGCTTCTGATTTGGGGGCCTCCACAGCACTGGGAAGAGAGATGTCTGTGTGTAGAATTGAGTTCTGTCACCAGTCCACCAGTTGGCTTGTGGAGCCTTGCTGCTACGGGATAGTGGGTGATAGGAGAGGGGTATACTGAGTGAGCACATTGGAGCTTAGGGATTATTTCATTAATTCGTTAGGTTTTTACCTTGTTGGAGTTCTTAGAGTCTGAAACTGGAGAGACAGATGAAATTGCTTAAACTATTGTACATGATTTGTATTTTGTAAAAGTCGGGCAATTGTTAGGATCAGAGAAAATGTCTAGTCTTGATCATGAGATCTGATAGAATACAATTTTTGGAAGAAGTATTTATTGTTAATATAAATAACCCTTGCTTTAAAAAAAAATTCTGAGTATTCTCTATCTTATAGAGCACTGTGTCAGGACCTAAAACTGACTTTTGTTATTATTTAAAATGTCAAACTTATTTTGATAGAAGAAATAACATGTTCTTTATTGTTTTTCACAGGTCACAGTGTGAGAAACGTGCAAGCATTTGCTGTCCTCCAGAATGCGTTTTTAAAAGCGAAAACCAGCTATCTCCCCCAGATCGTCCTTGATGCCATCACCAATATCTACATAGCCGACAATGCAAACTATTTCATCTTGGAGTCGCAGCACACGCTGTCCCAGTTTGCAGAGAAGATTTCTAAGCTTCCAGAAGTGCAGACCAAATACTTTGAGATGCTAGAGTTTGTTGTTTTCAGTTTGAATTATATCCCTTGTAAGGAGCTGATCAGCGTCAGCATTCTCCTAAAATCCAGCTCTTCTTACCAATGCAGCATCATTGCCACGAGCACTCTTCTTAAGTTCACTCGACATGACTACATATTCAAGGATGTGTTCAGGGAGGTGGGCCTTCTGGAGGTGATGGTAAACCTCTTGCATAAATACGCTGCCTTCTTGAAAGATCCGCAGACTCTGACTGAGCAAGGTAAAGTATTGTGTTTTCTGTGTTCTCATTTCTTGATTGGTAAGTACAGGTGCAGGCAGCAGGCTGTGTGAGCCGGGGCAAAGGTTCCCTTTTCTTCAACGTCAATGACTTGCTAGCATCACTAACAGCCATGAAGGAAAAGACGCTACTTGCTCTCCTATTTCTCCCTTTTAAAGCTATGTAAAAATGGCCTAGGAAAGTATGAGATTGTGTAACAGATGTGTTAAGGACTTCTTAAAAATACAATTCCTCTATATTCAAGGTCAATGTCTTTAACTTAAAATTTTTTGTTTTGGTATAAAATCTGAATCTGATTACAATTGTATATGATTGGAGTTCCCTATCAAAATTTGCACTTATTTCTACTAATTAGTAATTTCGTTTTCACCTTTTTGGACGTGGTGGTTTATTCAACTTTGTACGTTCTTATTTTTTCTGGAAGCGGCATTTACCGTATTTCATGCTTCCCTATCCACATTTAAGTGCACCTGTTGTGCAGTATTTTGGTTTTGAGCCTACTGGTCAATTTTGAATATTTAGTTCATAAGTTTTTTAGAGTGGTTTGCATTTTAGCATCAATGCTAATTGTATTTGAAAGTAGACAGTAATTACACTGTAAATAGAAATGCCAAAACCAAAATTTTGGGAGAGTGGGGTGGAAGTAAGCCTGCCATTTATCTGAATTAAATGATCAAAACTTTTTTTTTTAAGGGGATTCAAAAACCAATAGCTCTGTGGATGACCAGAAGCAACTTGCTTTGCTGGTCATGGAGACTTTGACAGTTCTACTCCAAGGATCAAACACAAACGCAGGTAATTAGGAAATTGTTACCAAGACGCTTTGGGAGTTTTTGCTCTGATGACTTTGATCAGTTGCATGCTTAAAGAGTGATTATTGGTGAACTAGTGGTACTGTCCTCTATCAACAAAACTTGATAATTTTCATGTTTAGAAGTATTGCATTAGTTAGAAAATTTACTCTGATCAAAAATACTACTACCAAAGAATACAGTGTGTGATTATTACATAGGAAGTATGATTGTCCTTTCGTATTTTTGGCTTACGTTTAAGATTTAACAGACAAGCCATTATGTCACTTCTTAAATATTTGTAATACATCATTTTTTAAAAAAAATGATTTTACATGTTTATTGATGCTCTAGTGAAAAATTCATACTATTTTTATAGACCAAATCACTGCAATATCCTTTAATCCTTCCATTATTCAATTTGTGTTTCACTTTTTTGCCATCATTAGCATTTGCATTTACTTTTTTCATCCTTCATCCTTTCACTCCTTTCTTGATATCTCTTTTCTTCTCATACAGCCCTTAAGTTGAAGGCCCATGCTTTGGTTCATATTTCTTTGCATAGTGGAAGACTGTGTGCCTGGACAGAGGCAAGCAAGCCTAACTCTTGACACACTTTTTCCAACAGAGACTGAAAAATAGCACCAACCTGCATACTGATCAGGAAAATCCAATGAGCTATTAGAGTGACTTCTTCAACACCAGAAGGGCCTAAAAAGTCACTCAGAGACCCAAGGGCAGTAAGAAGAGGGCCAGCCCAAGCAAACAGGGTGGGAGGACATGAGAGATTGGATGCAGACACTGGTAGCCAGTAAAGCACATTATTCAGAGCCGGAAATAGAGAAAGACTCCCACAAAATAGGCTCAGAGTTCTTGGAAACTCACGATGTGGAACTCGGACATGACAAGGTCAAGTGTAGTCACAGAGTATCACCAGTATCACCATCTGTTACCCAAGACCTATGAAATCCTTAGCACTCTGTGTGTACTCTAATGCCGTAGTGGCCCCTTAAGATCCAGGGCTTTGGACCGCCAGGATCCAAGGAGGTTATTGCAAGAAACTAAGTGATCCAGATTGGGACCAGATAGGGCTGACTGCTGCCTCAAAAGTATATCACGGGAAAGACCCTCATCCTGACACAAAGCCCTAATTCAGGAATGAAGGCTGCAGAGTAAATGGAAGAAGACACTAGCTACTATGAAGAACTGTAGAGGCAGCTAGGTGGCTCAGTGGATAGAGCTCTGGCCTTGGAGTCAGGAGGACCTGGATTCAAATCCAGCCTCAGACACTTGACACTTACTAGCTGTGTGACACTGGGCAAATCACTTAACCCTGATTGCCTCATCAAAAAAAAAAAAGAATTGTAATAGATCCAGAGATGCCCCAAAATCCAACTCAAAGAGAAAAAAAAAAGATCAGTAGGACCATATGAATACTTCTAAGAAATGAAGCAAGATATCATGCATGAGATAAAATTCTAGAGGAACTATTAGGAGGAGAATAAACAACTAGAACAGAAGTTGGTAAATCTTAGCCAAGTAATGAACTCCCTGAAAAATAGAATAGACCAAACAGAAATCAGTGACTTCATGACCAGCCCCCCCCAAAATAGAACAACATAAAAATATTTTGAAACATGTAAAGTATCTGCTTCCAAAAATAGCTGACCTGTAAAATAGATCAAGGAGAGATATTTTTAAAATCATTGGATTCAGTAAAAATGTGATTTTAAAAAGTCTGGATGCTCTATTTTCAGAAATCATAAATGAAACCTGCCCAGATCTATTAGAAGCAGAGAAAAGAGTGAAAATATAGAGTTCAGTGATCACCCCCTGAAAGAAAACCCCAAAAGGAAAAGTCCTGGCAATGTCATAGCGAAAATTCAGAGCTTCCGCTGAAAGCAGCTAGAATGCAAAAATTCAAGTACTAAGAAACCTGTCAGGAATGTGCATCTGATGCTTCACCTATAAAACAGGAGATCCTGAAGCAAAGTATGCCAGCAAGGCAAAAGGTGAGGGTGTATGGGCAAGAAAAACTGCCAGACTTACAAGGAAAAGAAGCACCTTTAATGGAACAGAGGAAAGGACTTGTAAGCATTCTCACTGACAAGACCAGAGCTGAGTAGAAACTTTGAAAATGAAAAACAAAACTCTGGAGATACCTGCAAGTGTGTGTGTTCACATGCCCATGCAATTGGAAGGGCTAACATTCTAATATGGGGAGTAAAAAAGGCTAATTTCCCTTCACAACCTTTCTATCTTCATAAATATTTATGAAGGGAGGGAGTTCATTTAATAACAAATAGAGATCCAGGAAATTGATTGGTTCTGGTTTGTGTATTTTAAGAAGGGAAAGAGAAGGATGATAAAAGGAATACACAGTTGTTGAAAGAAGAATTTATTCTTTTTCGTAATTGGGGTGTGTAATTAAACAAAACCTATACAAACATGGATAAAGGGTTTGGGAGAGCAGGCCTTAGATTACCCTTACTCTTATTTGAATTGTAAAAGTAGAGTTGTAAACAGTTATCCTTACCACATCATGGGGGGGTAAGCAATGCCCCCATGATCTGGAAAATTTGCGTAAAATTTTTTGGCCCTCCTTTCATACCAGAGAAGAAGTCTGAATTATTATGATGTTAAAAGATAAAATATGTTGATATTATATAATACTATACATGTATTTTGTACATTTCTGAGTTTCCAAACTTTTTCTGTCTCGTCTGCTGGCCTTCATATATCATATGTGGCTTCCACAAAACTCCTTCCAAATTGCCATTTAATGTCTTATGCCAACCCACAGTATATAGAAACTGTGAGGGGGAAAGTCACAGTGTTGAAGGGATAATTGTGCATTCACACACATAAAGACACACACAGAGAATTTGGGGCCGAGAGCAGGGTTAAGAAGGAGGGTAATTCCAGGGAGGGAATATATGTAAGCTAAGCAAGACAACCTTCCTTAACCTAAAGGGGAGATTAAAAAGGAAACAAACAAACAAAAAAACCAAATCAAGGGACTGGGAACTAAAAGGTGTCACTTAAACAGGAAATGCGAAATGAATAGTAGTGGATAACTCTAGTGGAATATTATTACTATGCTAAAAAACCATGAAAGTGGTTATTTCAGAGAATCCTGGGAAGTAGAAAACTGATACAGAGTTAAGATGAGTAGACCCTAGGAAACAATAGATGCAGAGACAAGAACATTTTAAAGAAAAACATCTTTTAGCACTCTGATCAAACGACTGTCAACCCAGTCTCCAGTGTGTTCTGTATGGTGAAATATGTTTTCCTATTCCCTTATACCCCTGGAACAAGGAAAGAAAACCAGCACTCTTTTAACAAATAGGCACCTTCTCATTCTGCACTCGAAGTTGAGCAGCGTGTTTTTCATGGATTCGGAGTGGGAAGAGAGACATACTCCTTTTGGACATGGCTTCAGCAGGGATTTGTTTTAACTATGTTTATTTGTTAACAAGAATTCATTTTTTTTGTTAAATATTTTTAATTCAGAGGTGAGAGTCATGGGGGGAGAGGGGCGATTAGTGATGTTGGCACCAAAAAAGAAGAAGAAAAAGGAAGACCATTTAAACATTTTAAAAAGTGCAACAGAAAATGGAAGAAAGTTAAAGAGACACAAACAGGTTAACAAGCTGTGACATTTAATTTATTATTAGCTTTTTAAAAAAAGCAAATTGTATAGAAAAGAAATTCATAGTTTCATATACCATCTCCTTTTGTTCTGTTTTATATGTGGGCCCCTGCCCCCCCTCTTTTTTGTATTTATTAAGTTCATAACAACAACAACAGAATCTACTCATAAGTAGTTGTCCTTGTGAACTCTCATTTAATCCTGGAATAATTTTTCTTCTTAAAGTATTAGCTTTCTTGCTCTTCTCCTTTCTTCTTTTGTGTCTTTTGGATTTATAGGAAAAGGACAAATCAATATAAAATTAGTAAGATAATTGAGCAAGTTAAAACCTAGTTCAGAGCCAGAAGTTGTCATTAACCGTTTGTTAAGCACCTACTATGTGCCGAGTACTGGGCTAAGCATTGAAGACACAACAGCAACAAAACAGGACCTGCCCTGATGGAGTCTAACGAGGGAGATGGCGCGTGTGGACAATGAAGATAAATGGGAAATAATCAGCAAAGGGAAAGCACTAACGTTAAGGAGTATCAGGATGGGCTGCTTGCTAAAGGTGGAATTTGACCTGAAATTTAAGAGGAAGCAAGAAAATTAGTTTAGTGTTGGACGCGTTGGTTTAAGATGTGTACGGGGACATCTACTTTGAGATGTCTAAGAGGCCTTTGGGGATGTGACTGGAAGTCAGGAGGGAGGTTAGGACCGGATAAAGAGATGTGATAATCATCCAGAAAAGCTGTTAGTACCCTCTTATATATGACTGAATGTTTCTGAAATGTGTATCCAGCCTTTCCTTTATCTGGGCTAAATACCCACCAAGCTAATAGCCCATCATTAAGAATACTCTCCTATAATCATTTTAAAACATTATTGTATCTTTCCTTTAAATCCTTCCCAAGTTTTGCATCTGTAATTACAGAGATCAGAATTGCTCATAACCCTTTAGTAAGAAGGCATGCAGGTACTAAAGAACTGTATTTAGTATTTCAGTTTTATCATTCTGTTACCATGTCATCTTCATAAATAAATTCATAACCTTTTTGCTTTTGAAACTAATTATTTTCAATATATGTAAAATATATTGGTACTAACTGAGCTCTTTTTTCAGGGTAATCAGGTAAATACACTTCCACTTCTAGGCTTTTCTGTTCTTCGAATTTTTTTTCTTTCTTGGCAAAATTTCTGAATTCACTTAAAATTTTGTTTTGCAAATGACACCAAAATTTAGAGAATCATAGAATTTTAGAACTGAAAGGACTCCTTTTTAAAACATTTAAATTGTTTTATACAAGTGTTACAAAATAAGCAGGAACTTTTCTAATTATTTCTAGAGATTTCTCAAAATGGAGTGAATGAAGTACCATTGCAAATCACTGCCTTTTAGATTGTATCACTTCTCTAACCCTAACATTTAGTTGAGTTGTAAGTATGCAATGAATAATTCAGACATAATTAAATTAATATTAAATAGCATCATAAATTTTAAGTAGATTTTATACTGAATCTTCTCAGATTCCCCGTTTATATGAAGAAAAATCTGTTAGTATAGCTACAAAAGTGACCAGGTTTGGTCAGATTGACCTTGGCGTCTCTCTCTTCAATCAGTCTTCTAGTTGTTACAGTAATAATACTTTAGGGGAAAGGTCTGTCGCAAAGAGCCAGGGCGAAAAAACAAAATCTGGAAACATCCAGAACTCATTTCCCAGACTTGTGCTCTTCTTGGTGTTACCTTCTACAGTAATAGGGAAGATAGGAGAGGTTGGGTTTAGGGAAAGGTAACAGTTTCCAGTTTTGATATACTGAGTTTAAAATGTCTGAAAAGGGGTTGGAGGTGCAAAGTTGGGGCTCAGCAGAGAGGTTGGGTCAGGATATATAGATTTAAGAATCATCAGCATAGAGATGGTCATTAATCTGTGGGAACTGATGAGATCACCAAGTAAGAGGGCCCAGGACAGAGCCCTTAGGGACACCTATAGTTAGAAGGCATGATCTGGATGAGGATCCAGCTAAGGAGACTGAGGAGTGGTCAGATAAATAGCAGAAAAGGAGAGGTGTCCCAAAAACCTAGAGAGAAGAGAGTATTAAGGAGGAGAGAGTGATTAACACTGTCACAGGCTGCAGAGAGGTCAAGGAGAATGAGGATTGAGAAAAAGACATTAGATTCCGTAACTAAGAGATCATTGGTTACAGAAGAGCAGTTTCAGTGGAATGATGAGGTCAGAAATCAGATTGTAAGAGGTTAAGAAGAAGGTGAGGAGAGAAAGTTGGAAGCATTTACTGTAAATGGTATTTAGTTCCAAAGAGCAAATGGGATATAGGACAATAGTTAATGTGAGGGCTTTTTCAGGATAGGGGAAATATGGTAATGTAATATGTAAGCAGTAGGGAAGGAGCCAGTAAAGAGAGAGGGATTGAAAATAAGTGGTGGAGTGTGGATGACAGTTGGGGCAGTTTATTGGAGGAGATGGGATGGAATGGGATCACTTGAACAAGTAAAGGAGCTAGCCTTGGTGAGGAGGAAGATTCTAGAGGACTTGCCTTAGGATTCCTGTTTCTGTGGTTTGGGACAAGCCGTTTATCTACTCTGAATCTCTAGCTTCCTTATTTGTAAAATTAAAGTATTGAACTCAGTGACTTCAGAGGACCCTTTTAGCCTGCAATCTGTAATCTTGATTTTTTTAAAAAATTGTTTATCTATTTATTTATTTTTGGTTTTCAGCATTCACTTCCATAAGATTTTGCGTCTAAGTTTTGTCCTCTTCCCTCCTTTCCCACCTCCCTAAGACGGTGTGCGATGTGATATAGGATATACATATATACCTATATAGGTGTATATAGGTATATATGTACACATACACATTCATATTAAAGATATTTTCACATGTCATGTTGTAAAGAAGAATTAGAACCAATGGGAGAAACCACAAGAAAGAAGAAACAAACAAACAAAAAGAGCAAATAGTATTCTTTGATCTGCATTCAGACTCCGTAGTCTTTGAAAGCTGTAATCTTAATGTATATTTGTAGTTTAAAAATTGAATGCTCAAGAAAAAATGGGTGAGTACACAAAAAAACCCAGGTTTAAAAAATACTTCTAACTGTCATTCTTCTGGTCATTAAGCAGTTATTAAATATTTATTCTGTTCTCTATTCTGTTCTAAGGAAGACAAAATGTTAGGACGGGTGATTGAAATATTAATTAGTATACAGTCCTTGTTTTAAAATAGTCGGATTCCTTCAGGGAAGGCCACGAGGTAATAGAAGAAGAACTAGAAGAACATAATGGCCTGAGCACGTTGCCTTTTATTTGTGATATATTACACATAGATAGAAAAATATTCCTCCTTTCTCGCTTTCAAATCAGGACATTTAATTCCTCTGGGCATGTTAGTTTTTGTTAAGCAAAAATATTTGTTGCCGCTTACACTGCTTATCCTGCTTCTGTGCAGGGCTTCTTCCTCTTATTACATTTATATACCATGTTAGTTCAGCCATTCCTCAGTTGATGATCACCCCCTTTATCAGAAAATGAACCTAAGGAGGGGCTACTAATTGGGGAGTGCCTCAATTAATAAAGCAATGAAAGTAATGGAACATTATTGCGCTATAAGAAATTATGAAAGGGACAATTTCAGAGGAATCTGGGAAGAAAAATATAAACTGACAGTGAAGTGAGCTGAATCAGGAGAGAAATATCTATCTTTTTTGAGGCAATCTTGAAGCCTTTCTAAGTAATCTTCTTTTACCAGTTTTCCATTTTTCTTAGGAAATCATCTTATTTATCCCTAGAAATGCTTTGGTTTTTTTGCTCTGGCCCTAGCATGTTTTATATTGGAGGATGAGGACTGATCTTCTGTAGTAACGTGTTAATGTTTTGTTGAACAAATTCATCTCTTCCCTGATATTATAAGGCAGTGTGACCCACATGTCAGTTGTAACCACCTAAGGATTGTGTGTGACTGTTCCTTTTCCCAGTTCTTTTGAATTAGCATCCATGTTTGTTTATTATTATTTCTATGTTTTCCCCAAGAAAATGTTATCTGAATGGAGCACCCCCTCTGGGGTGATAACTCCTAACCTAGACTAGCTCTCTTGGGTTGGGTTAAGTTCTCAGGGTATGATCAGCTCCCCTTCAAAGGCACATGGTGGATGGCAGAGGTTGGGAACGTGAGGAAAAAGATTTTCAGGTCTCTTTCACAAGTAGTTCTGGGCTTGAAATCCCACTCTGAGATGACTAAAATTCCTTTAGGGCTTAGCTATTTAAAGCCCTCCCCTCTCCCACGTGGGTGGAGCTAATTGATTTGCTTAGTCTGTTATCTTGTTGCTTTAACTGTCAGAAAAGTGTTCGTTAAGGGATCAGGGCAGTGTATTTTTACCGTTTGTTTTACATCTTATTTTAATGAACACCTTGAATGATATTTTGGGCCTTATGTGACTACCCTCACCTGACCTGGCAGATTCCCTCTTACATTAACAAACTATTATTTACCTTGCAGGGGTTTGTAGAAGTTGTTATAGTTTTCCTGGTCACATTTTGAAAGTCATTTCATTTGAATTTGGTTTATTATCGTTACTACTACTACTAATAATAATAATTATGCTTATGATTTTCATATTATACCATACATTCCCTGGTTTCTAACAAGAAAATCCTAAACTGTCCTGCTATTTTTGTTTGTTTTTCACCTCTTGCTTGAAGGGATCTTCCGGGAATTTGGAGGTGCGAGGTGTGCCCACAATATTGTCAAGTATCCTCAGTGTAGACAGCATGCCCTGATGATCATCCAGCAATTGGTGCTCTCTCCTAGTGGGGACGATGATATGGGTACTCTCTTAGGGTTGATGCATTCAGCGCCACCCACAGAATTACAACTGAAAACTGACATTTTAAGGGTAAGTTTGGAAAGTCCTATCTTTATTCTTTTACTACAAACATCTTTGATTTTTTTTTAGTTAAGTAATTTCATTGCCTTTAGGAGTGGGCTGAGATTAACTTTTCAGATAGTGGTGAGGGCCATTGTGTAGAATTCAGTGGTTCTAAAGGACCAATGTTGCATCACATTGCTATGGGAACTGGACTCCATCCCTCAGTGGGAGACATTACTCCCTAGGTAATTACCCCATTCTGGAGGGGATTAGTCTGTGAGGGATTAGTCTGTCCCAAACATACAATCATCCTAGGGCTTGTTGATGGAAACAAGGGTTGTGCCCTCTGACTTAGGATGGTACTGACCTTGACTTTTGGGGTTTGCCTCTTATGCATTGACTTTGTTTACTTTCTTATTATGCTTTTATATGTTGGTCTGCCATTGACTGCTTTCCTTTTCATAGATCACTTTCTCAAAGTCTTCCCACCTTTCTCTGAACTTTTCACATTCACCATTCGTGATGGTATGGTAATATTCGTTTTCATTGCCAGAACTCATTCATCCATTCCTGACTGTTAGTCACCTACAAACAGTGCTACTGTGAACATTTCTATATATGTAGGCTTTCTCTCCTGTCTGACCTTCTTAGGATGTAGCATTAGAATTTGAATCTCTAGGTCAAATGGCCTGCATGATTTATTAATTTTCTTTGCATAATTCCAGAATAGTTGAGACAGTTCACAGCTTCCGCACAGTGACTTACTGCTGCTGTTGTTTCCATGTTTCTGTAACAATATTGCTAAGCATTGTGTGTGGCAATTCTTAGCACTGCTTGGGAGGAACAGATTACAGAGGAGGAGAATGACTCCCTTTTTCTTTCTATAAAAATAAAGACGTGACATTGTTGACTTTTTTTTAATGTTAAACTGAAATTGTTATCTTAAAGACCCACCCATTACTCCCTTTTGTTTCTTTCAGTTAAATTCTCATCTGTGGTGAGATAGAGTTTATTCTATTTTGGATTTATTATATTCTGTCTTCCAACTTGAATAGAGCAGAGAAAAATACCAACTTTGAAAGAGAATGTTAATTTAAAATAATAATATCTGCCTTTATATAGCACTTTTAAAGTTTTGGAAACTGTTTTGAATGTATTTTCTCCAGCACCCTTGTGAGGTGTAGGTGCTGTTGTCTTTTTTTTCCCCTACAGCTTAGGAAACTGAGGCTGAGTGATTCAGTCACTTGCTCAGGGACACACAGTCATTTTCTGGGGCAGGATCTCACCACAGATAGTTCTGACTCCCAAGTTTAGTGCTTTATCCACTATGGTACTTTGTACCTCTAGGTAGATGAATTTCAATTTGATTCATTCCTAGGAAAGTGAACGAGTCCAAATTGGTATCAACATGTAGGAATATTTGCAAATTTGAAGTAATTTACTAGCAGTAATTTAAGCAGCAGAGGGCAACAGATAGTTTTGAAAAGATTGAAGAAGCTGCTTGTTCCAGCCACATTTGTGTTTGGAAAACAAAGTGGTCTCAACGTGCAGCCTGAGGGCACATTGATTTCCAGAGTTCAAGGTGCCATACCTGCATTTAGAGCTCAAAGGGCCTTTGGAGGTCATCTCCTCCAACCCCCTCATTTTACAGATCGGGAAACTGGGCCCTAGGAAGTGAAGTGACTGACACAGGGAGGGAGTGTCAGGGCAGGATTTGAACCCTGAGTGCTCCCCCTCCCAGTCTGGAAGGCCTCTGGCACACTGGGAGAGTCCTCTCTGGGTTCATGGGAGGATGGGAAGTCACGAAAAAGTCTTGGATTCTGTGGGTGTGATCATGCTGCTGATGTCAGAGGTCCATTAAAGCAGCCTAAGAGAGTGAACAAGCCAAGTTGGACTGGGGTAGAGGCAGATCGGCACTGAGGCGGTCGGCAGCTCTGGGCAGTTTTGTTCGCACCTTCTCCCCCCTCTTAGGTGTGGGTCCGTAGGCAGGGGCAGCAGTGTCAGGGGTGTCACTGAGAATGCTCTTCCAAGCTGCGCTGTGAGCTCAGAAAGAAGTTGGGTAATTTTTAAATGTTCTAATATAAGCAAATGCATTGCAGCAGATATTACCACCTTCTTTAAATATACTTCTCTAATATGAGGGATGTAGCTACTTTTCTTCTCCGTTACAAAGGAGGGACATTTCTTTAATAAATAATTGAGCCTTCACCCGTTAAGGTCATAGTACTGCATCAACTCTTGAGGTGGTGGTTATAGCCTGGGTTCTCAGAGCTTCTGCTAGTGCAACGTACTCTGGCATGGTTGCTCCTCCAGCTTTGGAGAGATAGCTAGCATGGCCTAGGCCACCATCTGTGCTTGTCTGTCAACCTCACCTCCAAGGACCAGCTTAGCTGAATTATGGAGTCTTAATCTTAAGAGGTTGAGCAAGAAATGATTTTGTTTTTCCCCTTTGGCACAATGATTCATAGAGACTATTTCCTAAGGTGTTAATTAGGAGGGATGTGATCTGTCCTGGTAGAGGAAGTAACCGCAGCAGTGAAGTCCCAGGTCCTTGAAGCTTTGAGGTGAGTAATAGTGTAGGGAGAGGGAAAGAGAAAGGCAGAGAGACAGCAAAGATAGCTCAAACTGCAGCTGTTTAATTATTTTAAAGATACTTAATATTATGCAAGTACTCAGGCAGTATTAATAAATAGATTCATTTTGTCAGAATGAATAGTATGTCTGTTACAACTACTTTTACCTGTTGTTTCTTTTTAAACTGTTAACCACAATATTTGGTATCTGTAGACATGTATATTGGGTCACCTGTGAATTCTGAGTATAGTCATCATAAAGCTCATTGGGTTCTACTTTCCCCCAAATCTTCCTTTCTTTCCAACTTTGCTATCACTGTCAAAAGTACCAGCACCATCTCAGGCACAAGGTCTTCATGTCATCCTTGATCTTATTCCTCTTTCACACCCGCTCCAAATATCCAATCTGTCATTAGGTCCTTTTCTACCATCACAGCATCTCTCCCGGGGCCCCTTCTCTGTGCTCACCCAGCTTTTGCCTAGGGCCTGTGCTGGGCATGGCCGAGGCCACAGTCTGTAGTTGTCTGTTGTCACTTCGTACCTATACTACTGCAGTCACCGTCTGGTGGTCTCCCTTCCTCTCTTATACTTTATTCTACTCTGGGCACACGCAGGCCTGCTTGCTGTTCTTTAAAAGTGATGGCTCCCGGCTCTGTGTCTTTTCAGTGGGCTAGCTCCTGTGCCGTGAATTTTTTTTTTTTTACTTCTGTCTGCTGGCTTCCCTGGCTTCCTGTAAGACTAGGCTCAAATTCCACCTTCTGTAGGATGCCCTTCCTGGTCCCCCTACCCTCCCACTGCTTATCCCTTTACTCTGTCTTCCATTTAGAATGTATATATCTTGTATGTGCGTAGTTATTTACATGTTGTCTGGTTTTTGCATTCTTGTGTCCTCAGCTCAAGTACTTAATAGATGTGTAATGACTGACTGACTTTTTCCTACTCCTTATCTCACAAATCAACCCCTGTTCTTTTTATTTATTTATTTATTTATTTAGTATTTTATTTTTCCCCAGTTACATGTAAAAACAGTTTTTAACGTTTGTTTTTAAAACTTTGAGTTTCAAATTCTCTCCCTTCCCCCCCACCTCCCCCCTCGTTGGGAAGGCAAGCAGTTCGATATAGGTTATGTATGTGTAGTCATGCAAAACATGTCCATAATAATCATGTTGTGAGAGAAAACATAGACAAAAAAACCCTCAAGAAAAAGAAAGAAAGGAAAACAAAAGTCTGCTTCAATCTGTATTCAGACATCATCAGTTCTTTCTCTGACTATGGATAGCATTTTTCATCCTAAGTCCTTCAGAGTTGTCTTGGATCATTGCATTGCTGAGAACAGCTAAGTCATTCACAGCTGATCATCTTACAATATTGCTGTTACTTTGTACACAGTACATTTCACTTTGCATTGGTCTATGCAAGTCTTTCCAGGTTTTTCTGAGATCATCCTATTCATCATTTCTTATAGCACAATAGTAATCCATCCTAATCACATACCACAGCTTGTTCAGCCATTCCCCAATTGATGAGTATCCCCTCAACTTCTAATTCTTTATCCCCAGAAAAGAGCTGCTATAAATATTTTTGTACATAGAGGTCCTTTTCCTTTTTGTTTTTTAATCTCTTTGAGGATACAGACCTAGTAGTTCAACCTCTACTCTTAACTTCACTGTTTCTATTAACACTGCCTCTCCCCTGATCTGTCTGGCTAGAAATTTTCCACTAAACCTTTGATTTTTCCTTCTCCTTTATTTAAAGCCTTCAGTTATTTGCCATGTTGTACAAATTCTATCTACAGTATCTGTCTTGAATCTGTCTCCTCCTTCACATTTCTACTGCCACGTCTTGGTTCAAACTGCCATCATAACTTTCTTTTGATAATTACATTGCTCTCAATTCCTGGCCTTGTCTAAAATCTTACTCCTTTCAGTTCATCCTGCACACTATTGCTGGATTATTCTTGTCTTATAGAAGCTTCCTCTGCTAAAAATATTCAGTGGTTTCCAATTCAGTCTGTCTTCTTGCATATTTGCGTTTCTCAGTCAGACATTCAGTCTTCCATGATATACACTCAGCCTCTATTTTCAGTCTTATGCCCTATTAGGCGCATACATGTATCCTACACTGTAGCCAAAAGCATTGGGTTTTTTTGCTGTTCTCCAGGTAACATGTTGTGCCCTTCTGTGTCCACCTTTTCTCATGTTCTTCTGCCCTTTCTACCATTGCCATCTATCAGAATGTGGTCATCTTCCCAGGATCATCTCAGAGACCTTTCTGAAACCCCTAAACCAGATGTGAGTTCTTTATTCTCTAGACTTCTTAGACACTTGTATTTTTTTTTACTTGTGCCAGTTGACTGCTTTTCTAGTTGCTTACTTCTCTTATTTAGTACTGAACTTGGAATCGCAGAGACCTGAGTTCAAATCCCACCAGAGACTTACTTGACCATGGAAAATCAAGTAACTTCTCACATCCTATGTTTTCTCATCTGTGAAATGGTTCTAATAATTCCTGTAGCACTCACCTCACAAGATTGTTGGGAGAATCCAGTGGGATACTATGTAATGCGCTTTGCACACCTCAAAGTGCTATCTATATGAACTTAAGCTATTATTATCTGACCAGATGGTGCCTTGAACACAAGGGATTGTTTTATTTTTGAATCACCACATCGTTTGTCTTTAGGTGTTCAGTCGATGTTTGTTGAATTAAAACTAGGAGGAGAATTCCTTACTTTATCACACGACATTGCTCCTTTTCATTTTTCTATTTCATGGTAGTGTTTTTGTATTTTTATAGGCTCTCCTTTCAGTCCTACGAGAGAGTCATCGCACAAGGACAGTTTTTAGGAAAGTTGGAGGATTTGTCTACATTACGTCTTTGCTTGTCGCCATGGAAAGATCTTTGAGCTGTCCGCCCAAGAATGGCTGGGAGAAAGTGAATCAGAATCAAGTCTTTGAACTTCTCCACACTGTTTTCTGCACATTGACTGCAGCAATGCGTTACGAGCCGGCTAACTCTCATTTCTTCAAAACAGAGATCCAGTATGAGAAACTGGCAGATGCTGTCCGATTTCTTGGTTGCTTTTCAGACCTAAGGAAGATAAGCCCCTTAAATGTTTTCCCCTCAAATACCCAGCCATTTCAGCGACTCTTGGAAGATGACTTAACATCTGTAGACTCTGTCTCACCCACATTACAGCACTGCAGTAAACTCTTTATTTACCTCTACAAAGTAGCCACAGATTCCTTTGACAGGTAAGGGTCTACTTTTTTCTATGAATTCAGCTGTTGGGAGTGCATGGTCTCAATAAATTTTGATATGTTTAAGCAATCACCATTTATTTTAATCTTTTTAGGATTTATATCCCACCTACTTTCAAAAGACAGACCAACTTTGCAGTCTACCTTGCTGGTAAATGTCCCTGGTGTTCTGATGTCACTTGGTATCCGGTTTACATAGTTAGAGTGCCCCTTACCTCCCCCATGGGTGCAGATCACAGCCTTTTGCCCCACAAGCAGTTTCAGGAGCTGCTGTGGCCAGCCAAAGCCTTCTTCTACTGAAAACTGTAATGACTTTTTAAATATTAACTCATTCTTGAAACCCTCCCAAGTACTAAGATATAACTGAGCCTTTAAACTGTTTAAATAGATATATTTGTGAATAACCCAGATATAGTAAAATTGCCATGTTAGTTTTTCATTTATTTTTCTAAAAAGAAAAATGCAGACGTGCCTTTGATTTAAGGATAAAAGGCTTAAATAAAATATAGTTTTGAAAAAATAATTTATATATTATTAGATTTTGTGTTTTGAACACTATAATCCCATTATCGACTCATGTTGTAGTTCATTCATGTTCAGACTTGATCTCTTTTTTTTTCTTGATTTTTTTTTCTTCTCCTTGATAAGATTCCTCATTTCTTAGCATGGTTTGGCAAAAGGAAATTTTAGACATAACATTATCGTATAGTAAGTAGAGAGCTGGCTGCAAAGTCTGAGAAAATCTCTAATACTTTAAATGGTGTGGACTGTGCCAGTCTCCTTTGGTAAAACATTCCTTACTAGGACCTCCCATTAACATATATATATATATCCATGACAGGAAATGGAAAATATGGTAGGTAAAGTGGAATTGCTTTGTGGAACTGTGCCATGCATGCCTTCCTTTTCCCTGTGATGTGTGTATTATAGTAATGTTCTTTGTTGTTCTTGTGAGGTAGAAAAAGTGGATTTGATTAAGCTTTTACTGGTATTCTTGTACAACTAACTGACCTCAGACTTCTTCTGCCATTTTCTAACCCCCTAAACCCCAATGTCTGTTTTGTTACCTGTAGTCATGCAGAACAGATCCCTCCTTGCCTGACAAATGAGTCTTCTCTCCCCTCTCCTTGGGGTACGCCAGCTGTGTCCAGGAAAAGGTACTGACCACGTGAGAGCAGGGAGCGCATCTCCTCGGCTCCTTTTCCTCACTCCCTTTGTGTTTGTCTTACCTCTTGTTGCTGTTGGGGCTAGAGGACGTGCCGCTTCTCTCCTTTTTTTGTCCCTTCATTTCTTTGCCACTTTTTCACTTGTAAAACCAATAGTTCTGAAACAGAAATGTGATTTGTAGCATGAGAGAAATGCAGAATTATTTAGACAAACTGTATTTTATTTTTTGAGCAGCCATGTTTTGTTTGAAGTGAATGAGGAATTGGAACTTAGCATCCATTTGAATTATTAAAGTGCTCAATGCCTCCCTTTCTCCCCTCTGTCTTTGAAAGTTTCCTTTGTATATGGATGTACCTGAGCAAGAGAACAACACCGCATGCGTACACACTAAATGTGGAGGGAGGGGGGAAGATGGTCATGCCTTGGTGCTTTCAAATTATTAACAAACAGAAGTCTTAATGTAGACATTTGATCAGTAAGACTCCATCGGCTTTCTTATATTGTGCCATCAGAAGGTTTGTTAGACTAAAATCTGTGAGAAATGAATCCTGAGGTCAGTTTCTGAGATGAGTTCAGTTGTTTACTTTCCTACCCTGTCCTTTTTGATATCTTTATTTGAAATGTGAGTCCAAATTACATCTAAAGCTCAAAAACTAAGTTGAAGGATAAGTGAGTAATTCATTAAAGGTATGTATTGAAGCATATTTGGGGCAGCTAGGTGGTAAAGTGGATAGAGTGCCTGGCCTGGAGTCAGGAAGACTCATCTTCCTGAATTCAAATCTAATCTCAGACACATACTAGCCGTGTGACCCTGAGCAGTTGCTTAACCCTGTTTGTCTCAGTTTTCTCATCTGTAAAATGGTCTAGAGAAATAAATGACAAACCACTCCAGTATCTTTGCCAAGAGAACCCCAAATGAGGTCATGAAAAGTTGGACACATCTGAAAAACAACTGAAATATTTGAAACCTACTTTGGAAGAGGAAAAAATCAAACTCTACAGTCTTTACAACTTAATCATAGAAATCTCCTGCTTTCTTCATGTCCAAGTGAAGCTTCCGAAGTTTGAATGACATTATTTTTACTGGAAAAGAAATACTTTTCTTTCCAGGAATCTTGGGGCTATGTTACACTGAAGCTTAATCTCATTTATACTTCCCAGGCACTGTAGTGTGAGGTTAATTGGAAAGAGTGAGTCAGGTTTATGACAGCTAACTGATCTTCTGTTATCACAATGGAAGATTAGGAGAAGAGCGCCATCTTAATGGAGGCTGGTGTTTTGCTCGTTGGTTGACTCTTGCCACTATGAATAATGCTTTTCCACTTTTCATTTTGATGCTTTGTCTCAGTCTCAGTCTTATTCCCTTCCATTGGCATGTGTCAGAAGACAGGGATGACCTAAGAGGTAAAATGAATGTCGGATGAAAATATAGCCCTCCTAAATCCAGGTAGTGAGTAGGAACCGTGTAATATTGTGCTTATTTGTATGTTTTGAGAGGCAGTGTGGTGTAGCAGGTAGAGCACCACACAATACCACCCACCCTGCCCCACTCCAGTCCTTAACACATGGTAGCAGCCTGCTCTATCACGTGTGAATTCAGCCTTAACATTACTAGATCACATTTTCTTTTTGGTGTCCGAGTACCCAAGTTCCTTAGCCATCACAATAATTTTTCTTGGGTTCATTTTTTCCCATGGTTCTCTTTTTACCAGTCCCAGCCCGCCGTACTTTAGCGAAGTCTGATTGGTCCCTGGAACTTTGTCACTTTCCAGCCCAAACAAGGGTCAAAGAGGAAGCAGTCTTTGTGGCTTTCTTTAAGTCACTGGGCATATTATCTGACTTGACATTCTTAGACAGGGGCTAAATTCTTGCCTCGGCTTCCTTCTCACGCTCTTACCCAACCTCTGGCCATCAGAATAGCTCTAACCTGCCTTGTCTGCTTCGTCGTATGTTTTTGTCATGTACTCAGTACTCGAACTCAGCCACACTACTGGACGTTTCCTGCTGCTGGGCCTTGCTTAGAACACGCTATGCCTTGTGTCTGGAATGATTCCCCACTTACCTCTGCCTACTGAGGTCTTTCCCATTCTGCGGAGCAAAGTCCTGCTTAGTTGGTCAGTCAGCAGAGTGCTGAGGATACTTTTTCTCCCTCTCTTCTCACCTCAGAATGAGCAGACAAACATCCCGTTTCTTACTATGGGCCAAAAAGTCTATGACGGGTTGGGGGGGGGCTGGACAGGTGAGTTGAAGGTAGGTTTGAAAGGGCTTTACATGCAAATAAAGACACTTATATTAGCTCTTAAAGGCAATGGGGAGCCACTGCAGCTGATTGAACATAGGCATATTTGTGCTTTAGGAATATCATTTTGGTAATTATGTGGAAAAGCTCTGAGTTGAGAGGCCAGTCCCTTCATGAAGATTGTCCTCATTCCCTCAGCTACTCCTGATTTTTCTCATATATATATATATATATATCATATAACAATGGTCAGACCTTTCCTATTTGCTCATTTTGTAGCTTGTTTTATATTTATCTATATATTTGTCTAGCCTCTCTACTAGATTACTAGTTTTATTTATGTCTCAATTAGTCTTAATGTCTCCAGTACTTTACGTAGTGTGATGCGTTTTAAAAACTTTGATAAGTTGATTTATTCACCATTCTCTTTTTTGATCTATTGCCTTACGTAACTTATGGCCTCCCTTATCTCCTGTTTAAAGGACAGCACTTGCTGAGGGTATTATGTAGAAGGGATTCTTTTTCAGGTATGGGCCGCAGTAGATGGCTGTAATGGTCCCTTCCATTTCTGAAATGCCCTGACTCTGAGCGATGGCCTTAGAATAAGGAGGACTTGGGTTCCGCTTTTGACTCGGGCATTTGAGCCTGGGTGAATCACAGAGCCTCTTTTGCTTCAGATTCCACATCTGGAATGTGGAGTGAGAATATCAGGAGCCTTCGTCTGCACAGTGGCGCTTGTGACGTTCCAGTGAAATAGTGTATGTCAAATGCTCGGAAAACTAAATGTGAATTGTTATTAGGAGAGACTGCGAGGTGTGCTCTCGAGAGCACAGGGTATGGAGTCAGGTGGCAGCTGTGATTTGGAGCCTGACTTAGACCGTCTGCCCCTGGCCATGGGACTGCATTTTAGTTTCAGTGCCATCATCTGTAAAATGAAGATAATCATCCGTGTAACATTTGCCACACCAGTCTTTTCTGTTATCAAATGAAATAATAATAAAGCAGTTTGTCAGCCTTAGAGCACTATTTGACATCAGCTCTCTTATTACTGAGAGTGCTAGATGTGTTCCTAGAGATGTTATGATTTCATTTAACTAGCAACAGCAATTTTTATTTAAGTTTTGGTTGATGCATTTTGACTTTGTACTGTCTTCATTTTCAAATATATCTCTACCACCCTTCTTCTACAGAGAGCCATCCCTTGTGAAAAAGAGCGGGGCTAGCCACCATATCAGTACCAGCGTAATGAGGTTTTCTTTCTTGGATCTGTTCTGAGACTTAAGTCTCAGGAACCTCAGGCCTCTTGTCTAAACTACATTATAGGTTGGAGTAATCTTGTGAAACTTTTTATTTGTTTTATGGTGATAGGGAAGCTTCTGTGCTTAAAAGTTACTGCAGTTAAAAGAACAGTACACACACACACACACACACACACGCATGCACACACACACAAACTGAAATTGTTTGAGTTCAGTAACCTTAAATGGATTGACTTAAAGCACTTTATCTAGTGCGTGTTCTTTTCTTACAGTGAGTGATCTAACACATGTTCATTTTTATAATTGGAAGTAAAATGCACAAGAGGGTTTTCTCTTTTCCATCTTTTGTATAGCAGTTACTTAAAAGAATTGTTTGCACCAAGAGTGAACATCCAATAGAGCTGTGGTCTATAAAATTGTGTAGTTTGATACCAAAGACTTTTAAATTTTTGGTTACTTTTTCTTGAATTGTAAGACTGATACTTTAATTGAAGAAAACACTGTAGTGGATTACATTTTCAGTGGAGTTTAATAATTAAACTTCTTTTTTGGGGGGAATGATAATGTCTTACCCCTACCTGTAAAGGGTTATTTAATTCTTCTAGTGAAAAGTGAAGCTTATCACACGCAGAGTTGGAGCATCTTTTTTCTTCTCTCTTCTGCACTTGCATTGACCAAAGATAGCAATAGCTAGCTATAGCTTGCATCCTGAACAAGGACAGGGTCCGAGCTGACACCATCATGTTGCTACTGTCTTACTTAAGATTATACATTTCGAGGTGGAAGGGACCTTGGAAGCCTCTCATTTTACAGAGGACAACACTGAGAATGAGGGGGGTGGGGAGTGACTTTCCCCGGGTCCCACAGCTAGTATCCTGCAGATGGGATTTGAACCTAGGACTCCTAATTCAAGAGTCAAGGTTCCTTCTATTACAGTTTGCTGCCAGTGTGCAAACTTCTTCCAAGCAGAAGAATTGTCTGGGACACCAACTGACATGACTTTTTCCTTATAACAACTGGTATGTGTCAGAGGTGGAATTTGAACACAGGTCTTACTGTCTCTGAGATCCACTCTACCATGCTGCTTCACATTTATATGTCTATAATATCTGTTCAACAGAAATTATAACATGTATATATACATATTTATGTATGTATAACATTTTTGTTTTACAGGATTTAGAAAAGAAAGCTTTTTATCTCTAGTCATTATTATGTCAAAACACATTTTATCTTTTTAGGTTTGTTTTTAATATCAATTATAGCCAAAATATCTTCAAAATGTTAGCAAATTAAGTCAATTTAAAAATCTTTTGATAATATCATGTGACCCTGGGCAAGGTTGCCGTGCCAAAAAAAGAAAAGAAAAGAAAATGTCACTTGGTTTAGAATAAATTATTTTATTTCCAAAGACGGGAGACTTAGCTTCCTAGTGACAAATTGACTTATGTCTCCTTTCATGTTACTTCAGTCACATTAACCATTTGGGGAAGTTCATACTTTGAGTGTGTGGTATTTTGTTAAGCATCAGTTTTTCTAAGAAGTAGAATGAAAAAACTAGCAAATATCTCCCCATATATATATATACTAAAATTTATGACCTGATTAAAGACTATATCCTCTTTTAAGAGGAGAGTAGATTAATAACTTTATTTGACTTTATTCATTCAGACTGACCAGGAGAAAACTGAGCAGAAAGGACCTTTCTGGCAGTACTAGGGCTGGAAGACAAAGGTTGCAAGTTGGAATGTCCTGGATGTTCTGACAAGGTTACTGCTCATAGAATAAAGACAAATTCCGAGTTTTTAAGTTTTTCTTTTAAGTTTAGGGTAAAAGGTGATGATGTGATATTGAGCCATTTCTGAAATGACTTTGGAAGTAAAGCAATTTTTTTTTTGGTGAGGCATTTGGGGTTAAGTGACTTGCCTAGAGTCACACAGTTAGTGAATGTTATGTGTCTGAGGCTGGATTTGAACTCAGATCCTCCTGACTCCAGGGCCAGTGCTCTATCCTCTGTACAACCTAGCTGCCCCAGTAAAGCAATTCTGAAAGAGATTGCTGAAAAGTCGGGGTGAAGGGACAGGAGGAAGCTACACATTTATTGGGGTGTTGGGGTAGCATAGGCAAAGATGAACTTACCTTTGAGACGAGTATAATCTATTTGTAATATTGAAGTAATGATACTAATATTCTTAGTATTTCTAAAAAGAAAGAATGATGCTTTCATGGAGCAGTTAAAACACCAATTCATCTATCTCAGCTGACAAATCATTGAATTTAAAGCATCATTTAATCTGCAATTGTCTTATGAGGGAAGTGTGATTTCAAACAGATAATTCCAAGATGGAGTTTTTGGAACCGGGAGTACCTGTAATGCTTCAGACTCAATGAATCGTGCGTCTTTCTAACCCATTGCCTCAAGAGAGTTTCTTAGTGCCAAAATACCGAATCAGTAGAAAATAAAGAAATCTCAAATTTCAGAAGCATAATATTAAATTATGTTAATTATTGGAAGGAGAAGCACGTGGCCATAGAGAAAATTGCATACAAAACACCTAGTCAGGCTGCATTGGTATGAGTTTTCTCTGTAACATGAGTGCCATTAGATAACAGCTTCCAAGTGGAAAATGGGGTACTTGCAAGGAGGGTGACAGCTCTTGGCCAAGTTCTTGCTGCACCCCAAGATGAAGCCAGTTCTATCTCCCAGAATATCACCTTCATTGAGCACTTAGAGATTGACTAGCTTTGGTTGCCTTTGGGTACCTAGTAGACTGATACAGAGCATGAAAGCAAAAATTCTCATTTTAGCAATTGGTTTAACTTCTTCTTCCCATCAAACTTTTTATTAGAGCTTCCAACAAGCATTTATTAGCATGAGTATTGAATCACTTTATTTTCATCTCTTGCTCTTGACCCATTACATAACTACAATAGGAAAAGTAAGTGGAAAAATGAGCGTCTAAAAGATTCACTAATTGGGTTTATATCCCTGAATAATTGAGAGTTAATGATAAATATTTTAATGCAGTTTAGCCTTAACTGCTCTGAAGTATAGATTTTTTTTTGCATAACAGTCATAAAAATAAATAGAAGTTTTTATTGTGGGTAGACATGAAATTCTTCTTCCTTCTTGTTCCGTAGGGCATGGATATCATTCTGTTTCAACATCCTCTGGGTACCCTTCCAAAAACGCTGCTGATGTGAAACAACAGCCAGCAGTGTCATCTCTCCAGAGTTCTGATGCTGTTGTCATCCATCCTGGAGCCATGCTTGCCATGCTGGACCTCTTATCCTCTGTTGGCTCAACATCGCAGCCAGAAGTAAGGATGTGTCTTCATGAATTTAATGAATGAGGTGGAATGAGTGTTGAGGGTTAGGGGTGGCAGGGTGAAGTGGAAGGTGACCAAGAGGGTAATCAACCAGTCGACAAGCATTTAGTAATCACCATCTTTCCCTGTTTGCATTTCTAAGTTAATGCTTGTGCTGTGTACCTGATAGTCCTGTGTGTTGATACACAGATAAATTGTAGGCATTTTTTCATGCATGTAAGATGGATCTACATGCAACATTTATGTACTTGGTGGCTAGATTTTTCTTAGTACCCAAGACAGAGTATTCATGGAGACTTTTCTTTCTTATACCGCACAGATTTTTGCTTTCTGTGTAATAAGATATTTTGCAAGATGAAATCTTTGCCATGCTTGCAGTCTGCATTCTGTTATGCTTCTACCTTCTTTTGTATGGAGAATAATCCGTTGTCTTATCATTATCACACATGTTGAGTTATTTATAGTTTTTCATTTTTCTTAACTCCTCCCATAAGGAAATGAGCAGGAGGCTTCTTAAATTTTGGTGTTTTTCTTCTTTTGCCTTAAAGAAAAGACCTTTTCTCAAGTGTTCCATAATAATCAATTTTACGGATAACATCAAAGTATTGTAACCATATGACAAACACTGTCCCTGACAGTTGTGTTTTATAAGCCCATTCTACATTTCTCTAATGTAGGATAGATCTTTATACTCCCAACTGTGAATTACTTTGGGCACTACCAGTAATTGTGGAAGCTTCTTATAAATCCTACTTAGTAGTAAATGGAATCAAAAAGAAATGTGATGAGTATGTTATTCCAGACTAATTCTATTTTTCTCTTTTATTTATATGGATCTTGAGATATTGCTCATATTTTGAGATACCAGTGTGACAGTGGACTGGCATTGACCCAAAATGGCTGGGCCACCCTTTCTCACATAGCTGTGGGCTATGCACTGAGTAGACTTACTTCTAGGAGAGCCTTTCCTCTAAAAAAAAAAAAGAGATGGGCTATTTTCTCATACGGTCTGTCAGTATTCTCCCACCTCAGGTCTAGAGATAATTTAAGACTCAGATCAGGCTCAGTTCTAGGGGCTCCCCAAAAGGGAATGGAAGGGCATTCAGTGTACAGTGTGGATAAGGTAAGGATGGCCATTCGCAAGAAATGGTTAAAACACAGAAGACTTCATAAGTGCACATTGATAAAGACTTAAAACATGACAAAGTAATCTAGAACTCCTATTATATTCTCACAGAGGGTTAGTAATTCAGACATTAACATGGGGAACGTGGTGGGGGCTGTTAGATATGCATTTCACCTTCTCCTTGACTCTGCTGTCCAGACAGCTCCCTTGAGGCCAGGACTTGGGCTCATCTTCTTGTTGATCTTCTTCTTTCATGCACACACACTCAAGGACTTGTGAGGAACACCTCCTGTGGTGTAGCCAGTGGCAACTGAGGGACCCAGGAGTTCACACCTCAACTTTGGAAATGTTCATCTCAGTATCACTATTTGGTTAGCTAGGCTTAAGGGAAAACACACACACACACACACACACACACACACACACACACACACACACACACACACACACGATGTAGCAGCCAGGACCTTGAGATCCTAATAATTTGGGCTCAGCTACACCAGTACATGCTATGGCTGCCATGTGGAAAAATCCTAGAGAGACCAGGAAAGTAACTCTTCCTCTCTTTCCCCTTCTCCCGCCAGGAGAGAGAGTCTCATGCTACATATTCTGAGAGACTGGAAGAAGAGAATTTTCGAATTCATAGAGTGGGTGGCTCTTGCTAGCCTTAGCAGTCAACAAGGGAATGCTTTGTAACACTTGTCCTTCAGCATTGAAGCACACGTGTCCCCAAGAGGGTCGGAGGAGTTCAGTATGATGTTTGCTCCATAAATTGTGATGTCGTCAGAGCAGATAGGGTGGGGCACCCTATTGTGCCTACTAAGTAATAGCTTACATTTATACAGCATTTTCTGGTGTTTGAGCTGAGTCTTAAAGGAAACTAGGGATTGTAAGAGGCAGAGGTGAAGATGGAATGCATGTTGTCACAGGGGGCTAGCAAGTATAAAGTGATGAAGATGAGAGATGGAGTAGCGCATAAGAGGGCCAATTTGGCTGAATCATAGTGAGTGGGAAGGGGACAGTCCTGTGCACTTGGGCCAAGAAGGTTGGTTGTGAAGGGCCTTAAGAGCCAAAGAGAGGCATTTATATTTGCTTCAGAGTTACTAGAGAACCACTGAAATTTATGGACTAGGGGAGTGAAATTGTTGTGTCTCTCCTTTAGGAATCATGTTGGCAGCCGGGGTGGATGGTTGAATGGCTGTCACTTGTTCGTCACCACCCTTATCCTGTCAGGTGACTGATTCTCATATTTATTTTTATCGACCTGAATACCTGAACCATCCAGGGATTTGCTTGGATATTTTCATTCTAATCAATACATTCTTAGCCTTTTTTCTCATTAATTCTTTTAATTAGCTCAAGCCCCCAGCCCAATTCATCAAATACTATTTATTTATAAACTGGAAAAAACCTCTTTTCCCAATTCTGTGTGTGGAGGTTACACAAATACAATTTTGTACAAATTAAAACCAGTATTAAAACAAATGTGTATTTATTTATAGTATTCTGTCTTTGAGGAAGATCATGGCCACAGCTACCATCAAACCCTCAGTATAATGGTAATTGATTTTTCACTTCTAGAAACACTATTTCACGATTAAGTTCATTTCAGATAATGGTTTAAATTTCTTTTTTTTAAATTTTATTAATTTATTCTGATTTATCAATAATCACTTCCAGGGCAACTAGGTAGTGCAGTGAATAGAGCACCGGCCCTGGATTCAAGAGGACCTGAGTTCAAATCTGGCCTCAGACACATAACACTTACTAGCTGTATGACCCTGGGCAAGTCACTTAACCCCATTGCCTAGCCAAAACAAAACAAAATAATCACTTCCATATGCTTTTGAGTTTAAAATTTTTCTCCCCACCCTCCCCAAAACGGTGAACAATCTGATATAGGTTATACATTTACATTCCTATTAAACATATTTTCATGTTAGTGGTGTGGTAAGTAAAAATTAAAACTCAGAAAGAGGAAACAAAACTCAACAGAAGAGAAAAAAATAGCAGTTCAACTTTCATAGTTCTTTCTCTGGATGTGGATAGCATTTTCCATCACGAGGCTTCTGGAGATGTCTTAGATCCTTGTGTTGCTGGGAAGGGTTAAGGTTATCAATATTAGTCATCGCACAACGTGGCTATTATTGTGTACAACATTCTTTTGGTTCTGCTCATTTCTCTCAGCATCAGACATACAAGTCTTTCCAGGTTTTTCTGAAGTCGGCCTGTTCATCATTTCTTATAGCACAATAGTATTCCATTACATTCATATACCACAACTTGCTCAGCCATTCCCCAATTGATGGGCATCCTCTCAATGTCCAATTCTTTGCCACCACAAAAAGAGCTGCTATGGATATTTTTGTACATGTGGGTCCTTTTCCCATTTGTATGATCTCTTTGGGATATAGCCCTAGAAGTGCTATTGCTGGATGAAAGGGTATGCACATTTTTGTAGCCCTTTGGGCATAGTTCCAAATTGTTCTCCAAAATGGTTGGATCATTTCACAACTCCACCAACAATGCATTAGTGTTCCAATTTTCCCACATCTTCTCCAACATTTATCATTTTCCTGTTTTGTCATGTTGGCCAATCTGATAGGTGTGATGTGGTACCTCAGAGTTGTTTAGATTTGCATTTCTCTGATCGGTAGTGATTTAGAGCATTTTTTCATATCACTATAGATGGCTTTAATTTCTTCATCTGAGAACTGTCTGTTCATATCCTTTGACCATTTATCAATTGGGGAATGGCTTGTATTCCCTATAAATTTGCCTTAATTCTCTATATATTTTAGAAATGAGGCCTTCATCAGAGAGACTGATTGTAATAATCTTTCCCAATTTTCCACCTTCCTTTTAATATTAGTTGCATTCGTTTTGTTTGTGCAAAAACTTTTCAATTTAATGTACTCAAAATTATCGATTTTGCTTTTTGTAATGTTCTCTATCTCTTGTTTGGTCATGAATTCTTCTGTTCTCCATAGATCTGATAGGTAAACTATTCTTTGCTGTCCCAGTTTGCTTATAGTATCAGCCTTTATATCTAAATCATGAATCCATTTTGACTTTATTTTGGTATACGGTATGAGATTTTCATCTATTCCTAGTTTCTGCCATATTTTTTTCCAGTTTTCCCAGCAGTTTTTTTTTTCAAAGAGTGGGTTCTTATCCCAGAAGCTGGGGTCTTTGGGTTTATCAAATAATAGATTACTATAGTCATTGACTACTGTGTCTTGCATATTTAACCTATTCCACTGATCCACCACTCTATTTCTTAGCCAGTACCAAGCAGTTTTGATGATTGCTGCTTTCTAATACAATTTAAGACCTGGAATTGCTAGGCCAATTGGTTAAAATTTCTTAAGAATCTTCTATATATTTCTCCTTATACATATCTTCTACATATTTCTCCTCAAGGTGCAAGTTAAATTTAGTCTCTCAGTTAAAAAGCTAGGTTACTACTTTTCCATACTTCTTTTTTCAGTAAACATTGGAAAGTCTTTCAGTATGCACTTTTATTTGCCAGCTCCTCATAGACTCTTCAGAGTTATCTTTATAACATAATTAAGATAATTCTAACCAAGAAGATCATCCTCACATTCTTGTCCTCTGTCTTTTCTACAGACTCTTTATAAATCCTCCTAGATTAACAGTGAAACACAAATTCTCTCTGAATCCATAGAGGGAAGCAAGACAATTTAAACTGTCTTCAGACTGCTGGCAAAAACTGCCATCCTCACTGAGATACACTAACAGTATTTATAGTGTCTGCAGAAGAGCCTAGTAAAAGAAGTTTTTATTCATTTATACATATACATATATATATATATATATATATATATATATATATATAATATAT